CGTTGTCTTCCGGATTTTCATTGGCGCCAATGCCGAAAGTCTTCTAAAAAATTTGTTAGAAGTATGATCAAGAACTAGAGACCAAGCTGGCTGGAATATGCATAATGGATTTACCAGCACATAAACCCTAACCCTATAAAATGTATTAGAGAACAGAGTGATGTATTTCCGGTTTTCCACTTAATTCATCTATTAAAACTCTCTCCAATGAGAACCCACCTTTATGGAGTTGCTGCGAGTAGCCGAAGCGCTCCAAACAATACCAAAGAGATTTGGTTGATGTTCAAGCATTCTGAAACAAAGCAGCCCATCGAACATGAAGGCAGTCGCAGAGTTTTGATTTGTCCGAAAGGGCAAGTTACATAAGTAGATTCTAATTATTCGGATGTTCTGCATAAATTGAGAAACGCAAAGGTTTCTAAGCACAGCCGTACTCCTCAACCCAGCAGATAGCATTAGAGTTGATTTTGGATACATGGAGATGAGAGGAGAGGGAAATGTCACGTTAGAAAGGGGAATTAGTTCGTCTATCAGTGGTGCACTTTTTCGAGTATTTGATTATTGCACTCCTAGTGTCTGGGAGCTCCTTTCACAAGAAAAATAGGATAGGCGGATAGGAAAAAGTTGGCCATCGGCTCCGAATTCTATCGCATGCAGGGACTGATTTGAACATCACTCACTATGTATCAGGGGGTTACATTAAAGACGGAGTTTACGATTAGAAGCAGCCCATTAGAATTAAGAAAGAGGTGGTCAGTGGTGCCGGATGAAGAAAAAACCATGAGAAACGGCCCAGAACCCGAGAAATGGGACCCCTTCCTTGCCCTTGATTTCCGCATTGATGCGACTCTCATCGGCTGCCCTCTTCAACGCTAACGCTCTCTCTCTGAACGGCTAGAGACCTGCGGCGAGTGGTTAGCAAGTCGGTGGATGTAGCGCGCCGATAGCTCCGTGATAAGGGCCATGCTAGGGCTAGCACAATGGATTACGAGTGTCTACCGCTACCCGCCTATTATCGAACCTATACCCGAGTGACTGCAGTTCATTTGTCTCAATGCAGCGCCAAAGAGAGGATTCATAGAGCTGGCTCATCGCGGAACCCAATATGAGCTACTTGTAAGAGAATAGAATAAGAAGTCGCTTCCAGGACATACACATTCGTAAGCGTGCTAAGCAACCTCGCCAATAAGAATGCTAAAAGATGTCGAAAAAGCGGCAATAGCTAACGCATAATGCAACCATCTCTCTCCTCACCCCCCCCCCCCACCCCCGACATAACTAATGTAGCCTTGCCCTCTCCGTCTCCACTCTCCATAATTCGAGCACAAGGAAGTGATTCAACGCCAGAAGATGCTGCTGTCATCTGCACAGGCCATGAGTTGGACACTACCAAGGCTAGCCAAGGAATCCCATACATAGTGAAGGGCTTGCACTTTCACGTTCAACAACAAAACACCCTCATTATTTGCCTCTTTGTTATCATTCGTAATGCAAGTAAAGTGTTGAGAATCCCAAAAGTTGACACTTATATAAACGCACCGCAATTTTTCGTTCCCCAAGCTGAAAACTCACCTCGGCCATTCCTGTATTACCAACTTTTTGGTTTTACTCGCTATCGGACCGACAGCCGCTGAACCAATACCAGTCACCCCTTTCTTGCCGCGTATCGTCGAAAATAGGCTCATCACTCCTAAAAAAGCGCATCTGAACATAATTTTCAACACTTTTTCTTCTGCACATTCAGAAAAGAATCAAGATTCAAAAAGCATGGACTAAAAGATGGTTTTGTCACAAAGAAAGCAAAAGATATGGAGGGTTGGATATGAGCAGAATTGGCAGTTAAATAATATTCATGACGTACTATGGGGACTGCCCTCATTATCGAGGGAAAATGCATTTTCTTGTATCGCAAAATTTATTTGTTCTCCGCAAGTTTTCGGCCTCGGTTCAGAATATAGAGTGGGCGAGGGCGTGGGCAGTAGTATAAGAGTTTGCTTCTCCGCTGTGAACGAATTCCTTCGAGACTGCAGGTGTGCAAAGTAAGTTCTCCAGTGTGTTTCCGAACAAATCGCAAAGGGTAAGATGTCAAAGGAAACGAATTGCTGGTTGGTGATTAACATTCGCGACCGCGCCGGTTTGCGCATTAGCAGGAGAGTCAGGAGATTTTTCTTCAATAAAATTTGAGTGGATGGAGATTCCCGTGCCCAAGGCTGGCATAGATGAATGAGGGTATGAAGATTCTTTTCAGGAAAGAAAACTTTCCAAATTCCATTTGAAACACGGCAGCCACCGGTGGATACCATTGTACAAGTGAGATCTTTGTCAGCCACCGGTGGCTGCCATTGTCACGAATGGGTTAACATTCCGGGCATATCAGTAAAGTTCTTGCCTAAGGCACATTACTGAGTGTTTTGTTATAGAGTGCGCGTTGATGGCAGTTCGTCTGGAAAATATAGCTTTCGATGCTCCCAACGAGCAGAAGCAAGCCCTCCTTCACTGTACTACAACCTGTTCAGAATATGATGTAGTCTGCCATCGCCTTCGAGCTCAGGGAACCCTGCCGTAAGTGCGCCGTGCAGGAACTTCACATAATATTTCCAATTGATCAACCTCTAGAGAGAGAGAGCGGCTTAGGGTAGCCCGACTGTTCGCAGCAGTTAGATCGACACCGTAATTGCCAAACAGTCGTCGGTGAATCATGCAGCCATGTTCATTCGCCATCATGTTACGGTGGAAAATTTGTCCAATGCTGTAGAGTGTAGAGCTATTATGAAGTTCTCTGATAGCCAGAAATAGGCTCATCACTTTTCAATCGGAAGCATTCGCTTCGAATCTACGAAACTGCAATTTCATTTAAAATAACGAAGGACGATTTTTCTGTCCCTCCCCGTATATTGGCTGAATGAAAAGTTTCAGAATTTTCTGAAATAACAAAAAACCAAGTAAAAATGAAAATTACAGGAAACCACTATGTGAACCATCATTCCCACGGTGTACCAAAAGTTATGTCATTTGTATACTTTTTGGTCTTTGTTTTACTATTCGTGATCATATTTATATACCACAATTTGTGTTTGTTCCGATCAACAAGCCGCCAGTGAATGGTTGCTCCATGTGGAAAATATAAGAGAACCAATAAATCGGACGGTCGGATTTTTACAAGGAGGGTACCCTCTGCAAGAGTCTTCGCCTTGGGTCGCGAAACTTATGTAGATGCCAGAATAAACTTAGTACTCCAAAGCCGGTCTAAACCCCGGTGTGTGGAAGGTAGTGGACCAGTACATGCTTGGCCAGCTACTTGAATCTTTCAAGCAAAAATAATGCCAAAAAGACTTTCGTTTCGCGTTGTCATCGTTCCAACTCTCGAGCGTGGACTGCACTGTCTACTCTGGGGAATGTGTACCAATCCATCACCTAGCCTACATATGATGCAGACGGTACCTACTGACTTCATTCTGTTCAGGAATATGAAGCAGTGGATTCGAGAAACAAGTTTCACTGAAAACTGTGAAGTGCAATCGGTGATAGGATTCTGGTTCTGAATGGTTTGAAAAATTGTATTCCAGTGTGAGTTTTTGATCGGCTTCAAAAAGAAAATAAAAAACAATACGAGAATACGTCTTTGTCTTACGTCTTCGTTGTGAAAAGTTTAATGAGATAATCGGATGGGATCGTAACGAATTTTCACCGCTCTGTGTGTTTAGGAATTATGAATGTAGCATTTCTTTTGGAAGACTCCTCAGTTAATGCTCAAACAACAATACCAACTCGTGTTCTCCTCCCATTACAATAAAACAGAATGATGCAAGGCAGTGATCAGAATGGGTGAAGGTCATGACGTCATTGAACATCATCGGTGGACTTTAGAACTTTACATTGGGTCTCAATGACGTCATCAAAACCGCACCGCCCTCAATGTCTTCGATAACTATGCCCAAGGATATAAAGAGAGGAGTCATGTCAAAATAGTATAGCGTGATGCGTGATCGAAGAGAAGGAAAAGCCAACAAAGACAGACCAGACAGCTCGCAACAAATGAACATGGGTGATCATTACCTGTTGCAAGAAGTAAGGATAGGACATAAATGAGATAACAATGAGCTTTGCAAAGTGCGCAAAACTCTTTACCGAATAATTAAATTCTTCATTATTTTTGCATAAAATTCGCTGGTTCTGTCTGGCTTCATGTTTCCCAGTTTATTAATGGCACTACTTCATTCGAATCGAACGGCAATTTTGGCGTGGCTTTTGCGATCTCTCTCGGAAGAACGACTTGCTAGGTCCCGAGTGCGTGGGTACTGCGAATAGTTTCCACCACTCAGACAGAGCGTGAGAAAATTGCATAGGGATTTGGAAAATATTGAATTAAGCGTCAAGAATTGTGCTCTAACGTGAAACGCCCACCATGGCAATAATATACAAAAAGTAATTAACTCTTTAGAGGATTACGAAGTAAAAGGCTTACGGTGCGAGCAACCAAAAGAGCATGTAAAGACGACCGTAGTAAAGGGACTCTTGCATACTTACCCAGACGTGAGAGGATGCTAATATGAAGGGAGAAACTCATTTGACTTTGTTTGATTTTTTTTGGCTTTTCCTACTTCTGTTCTAAAGATCAACTGTACAAAGGTATCCCTCAATCCAGGTTGCTTTTCTAGGTGTGAGTATGAGAGCAGTACCAACCAAGCGACCGTTTTACCCCGGAATCAGTGATAAGAGGTCGAACCTCACTAAAGGAGGGGTCGTAAAGGCAGGGGTCTACACTCAACAGAGTAGTAGTTCCTTCTCTTGGAGCAACTGTAACCTTGGATTCACGCTACAAGGTACCATAAAGCGCGTGTCTATCGCATTCCGCGCCTTGACGTTGAGCGCATAATTTCCAAGAGAGTCGTTCCCAAGACAATGAACATATATGAAACTGATACGTATGAATGAACTCTGTTTATTCATTTATTTATCTGTTTATTTATTCATTTATTTGGCCATTGTTTCAGAACGATTAAAATGTGCACCAACACAAGCTGAGAGACACACCGCGACTGTTCAGGGAAAGAGGGGTCAGTGGCGGTAGGAACACAGAAAGGAAGGGCAGTGGCCGGCCAGGACTGCACGTGTCTGGGAGGAGTACGGGTCCGGATACCATCTTAGTAGCTCCGCCAGCTTCCCAATATCACTCGACCACTGCTACAGCACGGTAGATGTAAGGGAGAGGGGGCCAGAGAGGATTCAGAGACTCGATATATAAATAAGTT